CCATGAGAGCTATCTGTAGTCAAAATTGCAGCTCAAGTTTCCGTAGTTTTGGTTGCTTTATATGTGCATTGCCTGAGGTGAAGAACCCAGTAAAACGGCCAGAACTCAAGAAGCACCAGGCATGGGCATGAATCCTTTTAGACTTTTGCTAATCTCATTGAGCTCTACCATCTGGTATACCTTCGTTTCGAAACGGCGCTTCACACTTGCGCAGCTTCCCTCGTGAAAGTTTTATCACAATGTCTCCACGGCTGTTCTAATATATGTTAGAAACTTAACCCAGATTTCAATGTTTTTGTACTTAGATCGGATTTGTGGAGAAGGCTTACATCTTTTATGCAGGAGTTTTGTTCATCAATCATTTCGTTTGCCTTCTTTTTAAATAGCCAATCAGTAATTTCTATACAGTTTTTTCAGTCTATTAAGTTTTTGTTTAAAGTGTTTCTCTTAAACTAGTTTCTCCCTGATCTCTGTTTTGTAGGAATCACTTTTTCTTGAAGTTATTCAGTCAATAAGATTTTTTCGGAGAGTTGTTCTAATTCATTAACATTATACTATATTTTCCTTATAACTGAACGATGCTTTTCTAGATTTTTCCTCGATCAGTCATATTTCTCAATAGATGTTTTCCGATCAACTAGATTTCTTCGAAGTATTTCTCTATTCAGATATGTTTTCTATATTTTTTTACTTTTGACAGTCACCCTCTTGTTTGGACTTACTAATGAATAATCCTGTCTTGGAGGTTGTCAGCTAAGATGGTAAGTGCAGACAAAAGCCACCCTAGTAAACAAGTCAGCGCCTTAGCACATGATCAGCACCACAGTACGTAACAAGCACCCAATCGGAACCTTTGCAATTGGTCAATACCTATTGATCACTTTTCGTTTAATGTTGACTTAGATGCTAAGGTGTCCAGATGCTGGATGTTTACACTTACCCCTAGTTCTCAGGGTTCAATTCGATTTGTATGTATGTTCGCCATGTGAGCTATATGCTCAGTGAAGAATAGTTTTATCAAAAACTGAATATTTATGTATAGATATAATCACATTGTTGAATAAAGGGAGACAAGACGTTAATCTAACATGCTTCTCTCATGATATGAATGGTAATTGACAGTAAAACATGGTGTGTATAATTGCGATAGAGGCGCAACTGCGGCATTTTTATTGTAATGGAATATGTGGACTAAAACGAACAACAGATTCCTCTCATGTTCCTTTTTCTATGGAAACCCAGACGAATATTTGTTCAAACATAATATGAGAAGTCGATCGAACAGTATAGTGACTGAATAACTTCCGATGTTGTTTCACGAGTCGTAATCACCTGAGACACTATTTATAGACGAAAATATCTGTCCGATTCGAGTAAAATGTTGACGACGGTGCTGATTTATGTGCTGCTGCTAAATGAGAAAATAGTAAAGTGATCGATTATGCAGTCCAAAAGCTGCGTCATCGCTCATTAAATAATAGAACCTTCGTTTGAAATCCTTATATGAACAGTGTGTAATATCATAACACACGATACATAAGCTGTATGTGCCTAGTCATTTTTATAGAGATTAAATTAATTTACATGGATTCTTAATATTATAGGATAACGCTACAAGTTTAGAAACCTTTATAGTATTTTGGAAAGCTGTTTTATGCTTAATTGTTTACAGTAATGAAACTTCTGTTTTCGTGACTTGATGTTCATACCCAAATATCGCTTGATGCTCCTTATTTGTGCACTTATATTATTGAGTGTTATTAATAGCAACTTAATCTTCAGTTTTGTACAAAGTTTCTCGTCACTAAAAAGTCAATCAAATAAAAATCAATTATCTTCTTTTGCAAATATCAATACTTTTGAAAAAACGAAATCTGAAGAAAATAATGCTAGTACAGTTATACCAATGAAGATTTTGCCAAATTGTGTTATACTCGTACGACATGTCAATGGCCGCTTAGGTAATTACTTATTTATGTTTGCTAGTGCATATGGACTCTCAAGAATCCATGGCTGTTCATTATACATCGGTGATGGTTTTAAAAAAACACTGAATGAAGTGTTTGAATTAAATTTAACAAATGAAATTAGTAAAGAAAAGGTGCAGTTATTACGAGAAGAGCATATCGTCTCGCGATTTAGTGAATGCGATTTTGACGTTAGATTGATGAGACCAGAAGCAATACAGTACTTTGAATTGCACGGCTATTGGCAAGCTTATGGCTATTTTAGTCGATACATGAACGAAATTCGAGCTGTACTTTCTTTTAAACAGACTATAGTGACTATGGCTCTTCCTTTCATCAATTCATTGTTAACTAAGCCCCTAAGTGCGAATAATAACACAAGCTTTGAAGCTGTCAAGGAGCATATCAAGACCACATCTTCAGTCACATGGATTGGAATCCATATTCGACGAGGAGATTTTCGACGTTATCTTGAAACTAGAATCGGTCGCACTGTGTCAACCATTGAATATTTCGATAAAGCAATCGCATATTTCACAAAACGTTACGAAAACCGAGTCCTATTTATTGTTGCAAGTGATGAGAAATCATACTGTCGAAAAATTTTCCGAAATAGGCAACAAATTATTGTCACTCCTGACACCTTCACGCGTGAAGTAGATCTTGCTATACTCTCTCTATGTACAGATATGATTGCCAGTTCTGGGACATTTAGTTGGTGGGCTGCAACTTTAGCTGGAGGTATAGTAGTGCACGATGAACAATTTCCTCGTAGAAACTCATCTCTGGAAGCGTTGTGTCCTCGCTTCTTATACTATCCACCATGGTTTTTGTTTCTATGAACATTTGTTATTCATTAATATACCCAATATCTAATTGCAATCTTCCGTTGTTTCGTGCCGATTGATGATGACGTTTTGTGGCGTTGTAAAAAAAAAGTAATGTATTTGGTTTCTGAGATCTATATGTGCTTCACTCTGGGCGCATTAATGAAGCTGATCAATTTTAAATCACTGCCAAAAACTAAGAAAATTTTCAAGGTTTTTAAGTGCCATCGTCACAGCAATCTAAAAGTAGGTCGGTAAGAAATAAAAGTGCGTGATCCATCAAAACTAGTCTTCATAGTAATTTTATCTGATATTCTTTTATTTCAATCCTCTCTACCGTTTTTCAAATTGTTTTTAAGTAAAAGCTTTGGAACTTAAAACAGATTCTATTGAGTAAGGCGTACCGATGGCTCGTTGCTGTGATTAATAATGAGATATTCATTGTCTATTCAATAACTAAATGGTCATGATTATCTTTACAAAAACTGATTATAGAAGGAGCGAGAGGATTAGAGTTTCTAACATAGTTCTGACACTGATAATGAGAGTTTCACTTAAAGATAATACACTTACGATAATGAAATCCAACAGTGAGCCCCACTGTGTTCTAACAAGAAGTTTCATAGAGAAAAAAAACGTTTTTCCTTTGTTCTTGGGTAGTAAGTTACACATCATGTGTAATTTGCTGTGCCTTACTATCCTTTCGAATTTTTTATTGTATGGCATAGCGCTTCTTGGTAAAGTAATTGAGAGAAACAATGTATTATAATCAGGACAGAAAGCTTTCATTCTCTTTGTTGTTGCATGAAACGCATCTTTCGATTCTTGCCACCTAGTTCTCTCATAACAATCAATACAGAGTGTTCAGATATTCAGTGCAGTTCATTCCTTCTCTACAAGCTTGTGATCAACTAGTATGCGCTTCAAGTAGTTTGTTAATTGTTGTCATTGGCCAGACTTCAGCTCCGCAAATGGCATACCAAGGAATAAAGATTCAATCTTAGTTTTACAAAACTGTAGCATTGCCTCATATCGAGACGAACCAGACGAAAACAAGGTCCGAACGTATTTTCGTCCCGTTTGTCTCGACTTAGGTGTTGTACAAACCATCCGTACGACCATAGAAAAGAAAGGAACAAAAGATACAAGTGATTCATGCTTTAAAATGAATGATCCCAAAATTTTATTTATTTCTGTAACTGGAGGGAAAAAAGTGAAAGATAACGCTATGAAAAAAATACAAACGAAAAAAAGATCGAAACTACACTTCTTTTATCTGGCTTCTACTGCACAGTATATGAGAAAGAGAGAAACAAACTTGACTAATATTTCATTTTGCATTGTGAAAAGGATTGCTTATGTAATATTGATTAATAAATAGTAATGAACTATGCCAAAATAAACTGTTAGAGTTAATTATTGAACATTAAGTAATTTGTAATAGCTAATCTGTATCGTTAAACTAGCATTACAGATTCCACAAATATCACAAGATAACCCATGGTATGACGAAAGACTATCCAGACCTTAAACGCTCGACATAATCGCATTGATCTGAGTTGTGATTCTTTCTTTGCGAAATTGATCGCAGTTTTCATTACATTCTACCACCAAAAACATCGACTTTACTTATTAGGTTTAATAAGCATTACAGTGAGTATTTTATGTTTCACCTTTTAATCTCGTAGAGGTTTACGCTAACAACTTCTTTTGCTGAAGCTTAGTATCAGTAACTAAAACTCAAAAGTTACTAATATAATTGCTCCAGAGTTCAAATGTAAATCACAGTGAACGACAGTCATAAAAAAGGAAAAGACTTACTAAAATGTTTTGATTACATGAATATCTATTTATTATTAATAAATGCCTCGTAATCTGCTTCAATAAGTTTAAAAGAAAAGTGAATGATAAGTCTTTAAGATTCATTTAGATGTTATAATAATCTGACACCAGACTTCAATTTCATAGATATATGTGAAATTCTGTATAGAGAGAACGAACAGAATAACATCAATGTACCCGTCACAGTTTTCGACTCTACCATAGGTGTATGCACCACAGTTTTCGAGAACGGTGGAATTTCAAATTGTTACTCCTATACGTCAATTCTATATGAAAAATAAATAAAAATCTCTAATCAAAATTCAAATCCAAGCTCAATACGTAAACTCAAACTCGTTAAATCTACACGTTTTGGATTTAGGTCATGCCTATACGTGCCAGTATTGGTATAGCGGTAGCTCTTGCCGCTGTTCTGCTGGCTGCTTTTTGTTTTAATGATATTCTTTTGCGTCTTATTGTTTATTTATATTTCGGTATTATTGGTGCTGCTGTTGTTGCTTCTATTTTGCTATTTTATGCTGTTATTATACATCCACTATTCGCGGCCTTACATGATCGTGTTACCAATGTTCATGACATTATTGTATGATGTAGTTATCTTTTGCGTAGCGTTATCGTACATAACGAAAATAGGACATCTTAATAATACGCATATAAGTCTCAATGGTTCCTCGACGAGTAAACAACAGTGCGATATAAAAAGAGCGACTACAGTCAAAACGTGTTTTACATAGTTATACTGGCTCGGTAAAGTTGTATCGAGAAGGGATGAATTGAAAATATATGGTGATTGAGAGGTAGTTGAGCATGTATTCTTTACTTCTTCTTTGACGACGTATGAACGGATGGATTTTTCTGTTATAAATTCATTTTGGTGAACTTCTTCATATCCACAATGTAAATCTTGAGGGTGTGGGTGCGGGTGTGTGATAGAGTCTAAATCCTAGTATAAGTGAGCCAGTTATCCTTACTGATATCAACACCCACAGTCGCATCCACACACACACACCCTCAAGATACTAAAGTTCCACAAAACCTACTTTTAAAACGTTTTTTGTGTTTTTCTCGAAATGGAGTTTTTAATCAAAAACAATTGGAATAACTCCTTCCCAGTTAGAGCTATAACCAATATTTTTTACAGGTCTCAACGAAAAGAAACTTTTTTTCTACCATTTTTTCAAAAATTGAACCCTGAGCTGAGAAAAGTCCAATTTACTGTCATTGGATCACCACTTTTCATGTTTACTTTAAGACATGTCTACTAAAATAGTTATAAAAAATCAATATTACACAATTTAAAACTTTGATAGATACAATGATGCGCACTGGCATGAGCGTCAAATTAAATTCAGCTCAAGCTCTATACCTCGTTATGGGGTGAAGTTATTTCGACAATCCTGAAGCCTAAAACTGACCTATGAATCAGGTGAGATTCCGGCCTGATGAGACCAATAACACTGAAATTTTTACAAGAAACGTATCTCACAAGGATAACTCATCGCTGAAAATATCAGCCGAACAGGGCCATCATAAGTTGGAAATCATTCCGGAGGGTGGCCTTAAATGATAAGACAGAATGCTTCAATAAGGAACTAGATTAGAAGCAGTCATAAAAAGTAGTTTTGAATGTCGAAGATTAGCAAAAATCTGATATTTATCTTTGTACCGAAAGAGACAATAGAAATTTTCAAGGATTATTCATGATAATCGTGGTAGCTGAAGAGAGATCGCTAACCTCTTTCAACTATCGGTGGTGGCCACAACTATTAAGTCGCTCTGTTTACATATCTAGGTACGACTATAAATGAATTGTAAAATATTCATTTACTATCAAATTTGATAGGCTTAAGGCAACGAATAAAATTGTTCCTTTTCCTTTGATATAAAAATCAAACGGCTATCGAATCTGTCGACATCTCAACCAAACTAATAGCACCAACTAATTAAATAGTATTACAAAGTTCGATGAGATTAGGGTAGATTCAATAAACTAAGTAATCATACTTTAAGCAACAATCACGCGAATGTTAACATATATTCTCACATAAATACGCAAGTCTTTATTAGAATTTGTAAGACCATCGGTGATTGAATGCTCATCTAAGCAAAATCTATTTCAAACATTCACTATTGAGTAAATCTCATGTGTTAAAATAATCTAATTACTAGGTCTGCTTGCCGTTAATAATCGTTCAGGGACGTAAGTACTCTTGTAAAAAGACGGCTTTTCCAATGTTTGAAACACTAGTTTCGATGAAAGGAATGCTAATAAAAGTGTGATACAGTGGCTGGTATTATGCTACTTCGATAGATACATATCCATAGCGAATAAATTGAAAAAAATGGTGTCCATCGAAACCTTTAAGATTTCGTAGAAGTTTATTTTATTCTAAAAGTTACCGCATGCTTATACGAAATATGTACGAGGTTTCGCAAGCTGCATGGTTTCGTGTGACAATCGTTATAAGTTTGAAACATTAAAAAGGTTTTTTTATAATATCGTTTTAGGTTTATTAATTCTTCAGGGTTTCGTATAAAACTGTTACAGATTTCGTGTTAAAAAGAACCTTGAAATTGCTGGTTGTACTGGTAACTCATTTATGGCGTACCTAATATTAGCGACTTCTTTTGACGTCATGAATGATTTGTTTGAACGAAAGCCAATGATATAACTGGATAATATCGGTTAGTTATAGCCAGTCTGTATTCACCGAATATTATTAGTTAAATTCTCAACTGAATTTAATAATCTTTTTTATTGCACTCACTGTTGATTATTATTTTTGGTAACGATTGTCACAATCTTTATTAAGAACTTGCAAATTGTTCAAGCACCGTGCTGTTTGTTATTGCTTTTTCGAGCTGCCTTTTTTAAGCATTGCTACACATGAAATTATATGTTCTGATTAGGTTGCCTTTGATTTAGATTTTACAAAACGCTTAAAATTTCATCTTGAATATTACTCTACTCATATTATAACAATTCGGATAAAACACTGTTAGCGTCTGAGTGATTCACTCGACGCTAATCTAGAGATTAAGTTGGTCCCTCTAGTCTAATTGGCTTAGGATAACTGCCCGGATAGCAGGAGGTGTGGGTTCGAATCCCACGAAGGTCACTTTTTCTCCATTTTTTCTTTCTTTCATTTTCTTTCCGCTGATGTCCCTTTCATGGCTCTAATATGAGACCTAACAAACACTTGCTGGATTTATCGTAACAATTGTTCATTATATAAAGGTACATCTTTTGTATATAAATACTTTTCTTATTTTATATTAGTTATGCAGTTCTATTAGATTTTATTTGACTTAATATATAATAACACTTTTGTAATATATAAAGGTATTTCTTTTATTATCAATATAAATCTTATTTTACTTTATATTAGTTATGCAATTCTATTAGATTTTATTTGGATGAATACATAATAACGATTGTTTAATACATAAAGCTATTTCTTTAGTATATAAATATTTCTTCTATATTATAAAAGTTCAATTCATAAAATTTATCTCATTGTATAAAAGTTTAGTTGATGAAAACTATTTCATTTTATAAATTTTATTGATTGGTCACATGACTTACTACAAAATAAAATATTCAAGAATCTGTTGCTAATATTCTGTTAACATAGAAGCATATCTTTTCTTATAGAATGATTGGATTGAAAGTCTTAAAACCAAGTTTAGGAGAGAACGTCGTCCGCTTCAAGAAATATCTGTACAAGTACTCTGTAAAAACAAATTATCATCTTGAACCCTTTATGGTTCTAGATTTCGGTACCATTTTCAGAATCTTTTTAGGTTTTAGTAAAGAAATTTAGAACTTAAAATGGTTTTAGCCAAGATATATGGAACCAAAAAAGGTTTTAGAGTTTTTTCTAGAACTTAAAAAAAGGTTCTGAAAATGGTATCGAAATCTAGAACCATAAAGGGTTCTAGCTCTTCGCTAAAATCTTTTATGGTTCACTATGACACCTATTTTTTTACAGAGTACAGAAGATGAAAGCGAAGTATGGAAATAGTGCTGGTCGTCCAATCAAACGAAGTGAGAATGTCATTGCACCTCGTCAAATGGTAAGTACTCAACAAATGTCATTTAAAAAATAGTCATGGAATAAAATTATTTTTTTATTTTTTTTACTATAGTCTCCGGTTCAATTTTGGAATACAATAGATATTCATGATGATACAGAAGATTTAAACAAAAGCATGCAGATTATAAAGAACGAATTGATAGACCGGAACGTTGATCTAGAATTAGTTAGAAGTTCATGGAAAAAAACATTAGTTCAAAGAAGAAATTTTATCAGAAATCATACAATAAACGAAGTTCTTGAAGAATATCCAGGTTATTGGTATACTTCATTGGTATGCTCATCATTATCTTTTCTCACTCTCTATAATTTGTTTATTAAATTCTTTTTGAAGATTTTCAGCGAGACTCGATATGTGTGTAATGTCGATATAGAAGAAAACCTGAAATCTATGTTGCCTAAATTACTTGATAGCATTCGAAGCGGCCTGCAATGCAAGTATCCTGCTTTGCCAGGTGTTCGACCGAGAATTAATTGATGAAGAATTCTTATAATGATGGGTGTGGGTGTGGGTATGGGTGTAGACATGCATGAAGGAGAGACACTCACGTCCGTACCCGGCTGAGCACCTTGCAAAGAAAAGTGCTTGCAATGCAGACCACTTGCAATTCACATTGCTTTCTTCAAGCGGGTCATATCTTGATATTGCCAAAAATACGGTTTACGGAGTATTTTTGAATAATAATTTTTGCGTTAATTAAGAGTTTCGGCAATTGCCAAAAGTTGTGTTTTTCTTGGATTTTTGCCGTAACGATACTGGACTATTGGCCTATCCCTTAAAGTTTGTACTGCAAAATTCGCATTCCCCACAATCATCACATAACTAACTGGTCAATTATGTCTATTGATTCTTTTTTTATAAAAAGAAAAGACCACATTTTTTTCTTTATCGTTAAGGAACCATTATTGCCACGACCAGCTATACAAATAACAACAGATCAGTTTATTGTTTTTTTAGATTACGAAGTTATTAGTAAAACATCATCAATTGATCAAGCTTTATGTGTTATTATTTCATTATATGTTATATTTGAATTACAATTTGGTATACACAATCGAATTATTCAATTGTTATATGGTATTCTATTAAAACAATCTGGAGCATTAACAAAACCACTATGCATTTTACTGAATCAATGAAATTTTATTACTGATAAAAAAGAAGATAAAGAAGGTGGTCATATGATAACAACGAAATCAACAAATTCTAAAACTCTTACAGCTAGAGTCGAAAATCTGACAGAATTCGAAGATAGTCAAACTGATGATTTATCAGATAGTAAAGAACAAGAAGAATATGTCAAAAGTACAACATGTCTGCTTTCATTGTATAAGAAATAAACTGAATTATTTACATTGTATTATTAGGTAATATTCAAAATCAAATAACAGCTATAAACCCTCCCCCCCCCATAATAAAAGACCCTCTCGTATTAAAAGATCCCCCCATAATAGAAGACCCCTTTGGAGCAAAAATCGAAAAAATCGCCCTACTCCTGTAGGGGGATTTTTCCACAAAAAAAAGCGCGATGTGCGAAACATAATAGAAGACCAGGGGGTCTTTTATTATGGGGGGGGGGGGTTATATATATTGGTGGTAAGGATCGGATCAATGAGTATTCATCGGAATCGTCAGATTCTTCTTCTTCATTATCACTAATTGCTTCTCCACTTGTTATTCACATTTTACCAACAGAGGAACAACAAAGACAAACAGTATCTTCACCATCTTCGAACGACAACACATTATATGAGGTAAATAGCAAATAGCAAGTATCATCAACATCAACTGATTAATCTTTAACTATCTCAAATAAAAAAAATTGCCGAGCAAAACAACGTCCTGCTGGTTCCGAAGAACCGATAGCATTACGTGTAAAATGTACGCGAGTTAAAAGACAAATTAACTAAAAAATATTTCTATTCAATTTTCTATTTATATGAGTACGCAAACTTTTCGTTAACTAATTATATCTATATTACGTTTATCAAACATAAGTAGCAGCTGTTCCAGTAAATATCTTCTCCTTTGTATTTAATAATATTCGGGCATTTTACTTTTATCATCCATTTACATTTTCTTCTCGAAAAAAAATCGATCTGATTAAACTTCGTCAGTCTCTCGAAAAAATTCAGAAAACTATCATAAAGAAAAGCAAAATATTGTATACGTATTTCGAAGCTTTTCAAAACAGCTCAAAAAGACTTTGTACATCCAATTTTTAAATCAACAGGAAATTCAACAGTATGTATTATTCTGAAACCTTTCAATACGTTTATATTTAGATTGCTCAAAAGAATATATTTTATAGGTAAGTAACTGTTTTAATATAAATTACGTATCATCTTCTGCATTTAGGCTTACCCAAACAATAATTTTATATGTAAGTGATTATTTAAACATTAATTGAATTGCTTTTTGTGTACTCAAAAAAGTGAGTACACTTCTAGAATCAGTCAGTGTGGTCGTCCGGCCGGCCATATGCACGATAACGTTTGAAAGAATAGTCCGATTGAGCTGAAATTTTGTGCACAGTTTAATCTTATGTAGCTCTCGGTAGAGTTCAAAGATGGGCCTAATTGGCTGGGCCATTCCCGAGTTATTGCAAAAATACTGATATTTCCCTATGATTTTGTTACATTTTTTTTTTGAGTACACATAACACTCAGATGTAAATCCGAGGTTTCCGCATTTATTTATGTTTAGGATGAACAAAAGAACAGAGTTAAAGATAGTTATTTATTTCAAATTCAATTCATTTTTTTGTTTATATTTAGATTGATCCGAAGAATAGTTTTATAGATAAGCTGATATTTTAAATAATTTTATTGTTTTTTCATGTTTAGAACGGTCGAAAGAATAATTTTATTGATCAATTATTATGTTAATATAAATTAACTCTCTTCTTTTACATTTAGATTGATCTGAAGAATGGATTTATGAATATTAAATCGCTTTAATATGAACTAATTCTATTTTCTTTCATTTAAATGAGCACAATCTCAACTTGACCACTGGGAATAATTCAAATGGTCTTCTTCTATCCAGAGAAAAGCCTGGGAGGAGTATATGTTTTACTGTTGCACTGTAGAATCATATGAGCAAGCTAATAAATTATATTGCTTAGTAAGCAATGCTTACTTAAAATAACAGAAAAGAATATCTTATATAGGGGTAGGACAGTTCATAGTTCCAAGTTCGGATGAACTGGTCAAAAGAACTACCAGTTCAGTTCTTCTGAAAGGAACTGAACTGAACCAACAGTTCTTTGAATAGAACTGAACTGTATTAACAGTTCTTTGAATAGAACTAAACTGTACCAAACAGTTCTTTGAAAGGAACTGAACTGTATCAACAGTTCTTTCAGAGGAACTGGTCGGTTTCAACAGTTCTTTTAAAAGAACTGTTTTGTTTCAAATTTGTTTTTATTTCCAAAAAAATAGTTTTCACAACAGTTCTCTGAAAAGAACTGTTAATACAGTTCCTAAGAACGGAACTGATATGGAACTGTCCTACCCCTAATCTTATACTGAGTTCACAAGAAGATTTCTTAAATCTTCAGAACCAAACAGTAGTTTGGTATCAGAACTGCTTCAGAATAGAAAACAGTCTTGAATAGTGCATTTTTCGAAACTAGAGACTGAATTGCAATAAGTGTTGATTAGGAAACCCTTTTATTGAAATGCAGATAATAGATTCATGCGAAACCCCCGTTACGAAACCTTTTTATTCACTCTTGAAAAATAGGCTTGTACGAAACCTTGACCACGAAACCATTTTTCGTGTGAGTTTGACCATAGTATGGTACAAAACCTCGATCATTCGAAACCAAAATAGGGTTTCGAATTCGTTACAAACATCGAAACCATTTTTTAGTTTCGTATAAACCCTTTTTTGTTTTCAGTGTACCACGTTGTGGGTGTGGATGTAGATATCGACTCCTTATGTGCATTCGCATCCAAATCTTTCCTCACAGCCATAATCATACCCAGGCCTATGTAAAAATTTACAGGCACGCCTACAAACGCTGTGAAAGAACAATTCACAATTACTTCCGAATATTAGCAGCCGTGAATAACAGCTGCTGGTAACGATCTATGCTATACATTTAAAATAGATATGCTATGCATGTAGACATGCACTAAATCCAATTTCAGTCATATCCGATTCTTGAATTTGACCGGAGTTGATTTAAGTCGGATTTGGATTTGGCTAGATTTAGATTTAGATTTGATCGGATTTGACAGGAATTGGATTTGGATTTGATTGTCAAATCTTAACTTGTTTTAAATATTAGACAATATGTGATATCAGCATAGAAAAGAGTGAACAAAACTGCATATAGTTGCCATGATGATTTGGCTGTATTTGACCAGTTTTTATACAGAAACCGTACAATCAATGTAAAAAATGTAAGATTTAATACATTCAGATCCGTTGATAACTTGTGTTAAAATTGAATTCAAGAAAATCCAAACCTGACTTTAAAATAAAAATGAACCCGATTTAAATCAGTTCCAGTCAAATCCGGTCAAACCGAATTCTAGAATTGGATTCGGTGCATGCCTATATCGATCAATGAACCTCCGTTTGACTAATTACTATGTTGGCTAACCTTTGACATTCTCATTTTCTATCCTTACTTGATCTAATCATATTTCAATTATCCACATTTCTATTCGTGCGACACTCAACTTTCTTCTTTTGCCTACCAAAAATTTACCCAATACCTTGTTTCCTTTTAGTTACATACCCAGCCAAACTTATTTATAGCCATATATAACACAAAACACAGAAACCACTCTTTCCGATCATACCCACAAAACAAACCTTAACATAACTACTGTGCACGTGTTCCTATACTACATAGATTTCATATATCTACTAATTAGCTTTCACACAATGTCCCAACATTATAGCCCATATCAACCATATTCGCGTAGGTGGTCCCAAGAATTCACCATAACGCAAAGACCTTTACGAAAAGAAAAACACACATTATCTCTACCTCACTATAAACAAAGAGTATATCATGTAAAGATAAAATCATTCTACCTACTTGACACCGTTTTAAGACAGACAAATTCTTACCAGGGCTGACGATTGTTTTTAAGAGTGATGGCGGTTAATTTGTTTTTGACAAACACTGTTTACAAATTTTCGCAGATAGCCATTTCCATTAAAACTTTTCATATGCAAATGAGCTTAAAGTTCTATGGATATCCGCACGCGAACACTTGCCTCAGTTTTTGACTTTAGATCTCTTTTTTTAAAGCGCTTGTTACAGTCAAATCCTATGATTGATCGAATATCGATAAGTATTTGATAACAATAGCAAAATAAATCTATATATTTATTGTGTCATATCAAAGAATAAAAATTTACGATAAAAAATGTATTTGCATGAAAATGTATATAATCGGCCAATTTCTGTAGCCGCTAGGCATGCACCAGTTCCAGTCTTGACTAGCAGGTTGTATACCAGTCAGACTGGATCATGTGTATGACAAATCAATTTAGAAAAAAAAATAACTCTGCTATTGCATATTAAGTTCCAAACTTATAAAATATTATTTTTAAGTAAAATTGAAGATAATTAAGCGATCAAACTGTTGTTCTAGGTAAATTGATTGTTTTTCGATCCTTGAAGGATACATCAGGGTTGAAAATTTTTGAAGAAACCGAAATTCGATTATTCATCACATATTCTCAAAGAGAATAATATTGATCCAATAATGAATGAAACATCAGATGGTTTATTACCCACTCAAACTGGGTGACTAGTCTACTGGAACTGGTGTATGCCTAATAGCCGCCTGTTCTATCAATTAAACAAAAATTTGATTGCAGTCACACACTTATTCTGAAATTCAGTTAAATTTGTTCTGTTCTGTGTATCTACTAGTGGCGTAACCAGAAATTTAAGGATGATAGGGCTCAGCCCCAGCGCTGTCTATCCCATGTAAAAAAACGTAAAAAATCTGATTTTTATCGATTTTTCATCATTGAAAAATCGATTTAGATGGCACAATTTACATCCGATTTTTCATCGACAAAAAAATCAATAGAAATTGATTTTCATGAATTTTTCCAAAATAATCAATTTTAATCAGAGTCATCAATATTCTTGCATAATTTA